GGCAGCCCACGCACCCGGCAGCCCACACACACAGCTGCCCACGGGGGAGGCCCCCTTCCCGCTCTGACTCCAGGCCTCAAATGGAGGCACCAAGGGAGGAGCGGATGGGGGTCCTGGGGGGTCTCAGGCCTGGAGAGCTGCGCCCTGGCCTCCAGCTCCCTTTCAGTCTTGGGAGGCCCCCTGCGGCCTCTGCCACCCATGTGGGAGCCGTCTAATTACCCACAATAACAATCCACGGATCGCAGGCCAGCCCCTCGGGGCAGCGTTATAATAGGGCTAACTTCCAGGTGCTTCTGCTTCATCTCTGCTCAGCAGCTGACGCAGAATCTATTGATCCCAGTGCCAGTAAATGATTTCCCTCAACTTCCTCTGCTTAAAGGACACCTCCACCGTCAAATCAGGGTCTCTCATTCGGCGGACGTGGCTTGGGTGCTAGGAGTGTCTCGCTGGGGTGGTTCGGTTGTGCTGCGGAGCAGGACTGCTGTGGCTGAGACCTGCCATGTGCCCAGCCTCATCCCCGGACACAGCGGGGACGCCGGTGCCCGGGGGGCAGCAGGGAGGGCTGAAAGGACTGCCTTCCCAACATGTGTGAGCAGAGAAAGGAGGACAGTGCCCTGAGGGGGGGCCTGCACGGTGGCCCCTGCACAGATAACGAGAGTGCTGGGTTCCGTTGGTACAGGTGAGGAGGTGACTCTGCGGCACAGAGAGCGGACAGAGCGGTGCCTGGCGGAAGCGAGGGACGTGGCCTCCCTGGCCTTAGCCCTGCTGTCCCTTCATCTTGCCCTCTGCCTTTCAGTGTGATTCCTGGCCAACCTTGGCCATCCCCTTCTCTGTGTCGGAGGCAGCTTTCCTGACCTCCCGGGCACATCAGTTCTCCCCCCACACGACACCCCTTGGGCTCTCCCTGCTCCGGCCACTCATCCCCTCCTCGGCGTCAATCTCACGGTCACCAAGTTGTGAGGCACCCCCTGGGCAGGGATTGTGATAACTTGTTGTTCAGCTTGGTCTGAAGTAGGGGTTCAATAAGTACTGCATGGATGCTGGGTGGATGGTGGGTGAATGGACGGATGGAGGGTGGATAGACTGATGGATGGAAGGATGGACATCACGCATATTAAAAAGCTATAATGAGAGTGGCCGCTATGATGTCTCAACAAAGTTTCATGTTTAAATGTTTATGTGCGAGTCCTAGGAAAACTTGCATTTTCTAATTTAAAGTGATGCATTTTAGTTAAAACAATCTTCCTGATTTCACCCGGGAAAAGCTTTCCCTCAATTTTGATAAGACACTAAAACAGGGGCTTTTCTGAAAGGTTCACCCGGCTTACCACGTGTGCAAGACCCTTCCATGAAATAGAAATGAGTCTGTGAGCACAGACCTCGCAGCGGGAGGCTAGGGCGAGGATACCTGCCCTCCGTCTGAGCTTTCTGGGTGGAGAAATCCTGGCCACATTATTTTCACAAGCCTCCTGGCCTTCAAGAAGGCAGCAGCGTCTCAACACCATGCTCTGTTCCAAATGCAGGGCAGAGCTCCCCCTGCTCCGGGTGCAGACCCGCTTCCGTCGCCGCAGACACACGAGCCTGGCTGAGCGCCGTGAGTGTGGAGGGGCCCAAAGCCGGCCCCCTAGGCAGGAGCGGCCGCGCCGGTGTTCGGGGAGCCCTCTGCGGCCAGGCCGGCCGCGGCCCTGCAGGAACCATGAACGCTGCCGCTGGTGTGCAGGCAGGGAAAATAAACACGGGCAGGAGGAGTTGAGTGAAACAGAAAGCTGAGATGTGAACAGAAGTGTCCAAGATGCCAGTTTTCCTTGCTTTTTACTGCTCTCGGGATTCTGCGGCTGAGGAGTGAGGGACCCACCTAGGACTCAAAATAGTGTGACACACTCATTCATGTGCTGGGCTTGTCCCAGGAGTGAGGCCTGCTGGTGTGCCTCCAGCAGAGGAGGGGAAGTCCCTAAACAATTATAGGTACACGTGCACACATATGTATAGACACACAGGGACATACGTGTCATGGGAATGTGTGGACACCATCCGCCACTCTGCGACACTGCTGGAGGCCGGTCACCTGTCCAGCCCTCAAGTCCTACCCAAGGACCCTGAGCGCCAGACATGGAGACTGGCCCTTTGAACCCCTGAAGGGGAGTAAGGCTCTGGGAGGCCCCCCCAACCCCCTGCTGCCCAGCCTTCTGCTCAGCCCCACCCTTGGCCCCTTAGGGGTCTGAACGAGACTCTCCAGCCTCTGCCTCTCGACCGCTGGCTGCACTGCCCGGGGAGGGTGGCCTTGCTCGCACAGCCAGGCTGCCTGGAATGGGACAGACTGTTTAATTTGCAGGGTTGCCAAACAGAAAGAGGGCCCCACGTTTAAAAATCCTGCCCCAGCCTGTGTTGAGTGCAGGTGTCGGGGCTGCGAGAGGCCCCCCAGATGCCTCCCAGACTCCCCGAATTCTCGGAAACAGGTCTGGCAGAAACAGAAGTGAAAGAGATTGGGTTAATATCTTCACAATCTAGTGTTAATTAGCACCATCCAACCAAGAGCGGGAGCTTCCCGGGAGCATAAATCACATCAGAGGCCTGTCTCCAGCCGCTCTGATAATGACCTGCAGACTCCTGGGGATGGAGGAGTCTGTCTACGCTGGTGGGAAGGGGGCCTCCTGGGGGATCTGGGGAGGAGGACCCTCCTGCTGGGGGAGAGTGAGGAGGCTGGAGTGGGCAGATGTCAGGGAGAGCTGTGTGGCTGCTTCCCCAGAACCAGGCAGCTGCCAGCACCTCTGCTCTTTCCACAAAGAGCTTGAGTGAGGACCAGGGTCCTCTCCCATGTCCACCCCCGTCCCGGAATGTGGACCACCCCGAGGGCAGCACCAACCTCCCCATGGGGCAAGCAGGACCTCTATCCCAGGTCCCTGCAGTCCAATGAGGACAAGGGGCCCAGTCAGCCAGCACCACCTTCTGAGCACCTAGCAGGTGAACACACTGGCACCGGAGGGCCCCGAACAGAGGGACCTCCGACCCATGCACTTTACAAGTCATCGAGGGCCTGCTTCCTACCAAGCCTGCTCACAGGTCCAGGCAGGCAGCACCCCAGGTTGGCTGCCTTCCTGGAGGAGGAACCTTGGGGAGAGGCAGCCTCCTCACCTTTCAGGGGTCAGGTGCAGCCGAGGGCCTAACCAGACCCGGGAGTGTGAGGTCCGGGCTTGCCTGCCTGTGGGCGCCGACTCCCGGGCGCAGCCTCCGTCCTGCCCCGGACAGCATGGGGACAAGAGTCCGCTGTCCTCAGGGTAGGTCCTTCCCAGAGGGCGGGGGCCCTGGATGCACAGGACGGGCCTAGACCTCTGTGTGGTTATGACGTGTGCATGTCTGTCACCGACCCCAGGTCTGTAAGCAGCTGCACAGAGCAGCTCCAACTCAACCCAGGGAAACCCGGGCTGGGATCTGTGGGGAATGAAGCCCCGAATAAGATGCTCCTGGGAGGCCTTCCAGACTGGCTTCCCAGACATTGAGGTGCACTGGCTGCTGGGGGATCCAGAGGAAACGCTGATCCTGACGTGGTAGGTCCATGGACGCCAGGGGTCCGCACTGCCAGCGAGCTTCCAGGTGACTCAGCGCTGCTGTCCTAGGACCCACGTTGGCATCAAGGCCAGATGGTGGTCCAACACGCTCTTCCTGGCTTACGTCCCCAACTCTGCCTTTGTGTCGGCCTCGTCTGAACATCCAGGCTCGCATCCGACCAGGGGACGAAAGGCCTCCCGCTCCTGGCCAATGCCTCTTCCAGTCCTGGCCTCCAGCCATCCCAGGGCAGCCTCTGCTCCACCTCTGACGTGGGGCTCATGGAGACAGTGGCTCCTGCTGCTCACACGTGTTGCTGGTTGTCTGACCCCCAAGGTGAGGCCAGAGTCCCTGATTCTCACATGTGAGCAAGAGGCCGCCTGTTCACCTGGTCGCAGGGCATCCGGAAATCCTTCCTCCAAGCAGGACAGAATCCCTGGGATGCCCACTAGAGGCCAGCCCCACCAGCAGGATTCACGTCTGGAGAGGCCAGCCCTGGTGTGAACTGGCTGAACTGCTGTGTCTGGGATGGGGGGTGCCCAGCTGTCTGACCAATCTTCCTAGAACCAGGGTGAGAGGCCCTCAGAGAAGGCATCTGGGCACCCTGAGCTCAGGAAGCCAGACTCTCGGCCACCACGTGACCTCTGGCCTCCAGGAACACCTCCACCTCGGGCCTGGAGTCACCCAGCCCGCAGCCCCGCTCACCCGCTCTGCTGTGCCCACGGCCCAGGCCCTGCTCTAGAGAGGGGAGCTGAAGCTACCTGGACATCTTGCTTTGCGCCAGGTCTCAGCACACGGTCGCCTGGGACTTGAGGATGCGAGAGGTTTTCTGACGGAGACCCCACTTTATACGCTGGGCCTAAGCATGTTTCCAACTTTGGCTGATTCTCCACTTCCACAGCCGGTGTGTGAAGCTTACACGTTGGGAAGCCCTGGATGGGGGAAGCTCCATTTTGGGCTCCTCCCTTGGCTCTGGAGTTCCAGCTGCGGGAAGGCAGGGCAGGGCGCCGCCGTCACTCCAGGCACTTGAGGACTCAGATGAGACTGCACAGCTGCCCCACCGGGCTCCCAGCCCAGGTCCCTGCAGGTCAGACGGCGTGGTGCCCCCAGAGTAGCTGGGGCAGGACCAGGTGAGGCCAGCCAGGTGGGAGCACTGGGCTGCTCCCACAGCCCCCTCGTGGCTGAGCACCCTTCTCATCCCCATTTCATAGACGAGGCAGCAGGGGCACTGTGGTCTCCCCAGATGTGATCCAGCCCTTGCTCCCAGTCACCATGCTTTCCCTCCTGCTTGGGTAGCAGCGGCCCAGCCACTGGCCAGGGTCATAGGACGCTGGGGAGAGACCAACAATCCCAGCAGGATGACTCTCCAAACGGCCTGAGGGTCCAGCCTGCCCTCTCCCCCACCCAGCTGGGCACCCGTGGGGCAGCGAAGACCTGGCCAGAGCAGCGGCTCCGTCTCTGCTGTGTTGTCATTCGAGGTGGACGTTGCAGAGGAAGGGGCTGCGGCAGGGGAGTGGACTCAGGAGGAGCGGTCAGCCAGCAGGAGGGCGGATCTCTGGAGGAGGCCCCATAGTGGACAGTCCAGGCTGACTGGCTCCCAGGGTCCTGGGCGTCGTGGTGGCCGTAAGTCTTGACAAGAGGCGGCTGTGCTCCCACAGGAGCATTTGGGGGACCACGTGGCGGCTGGACTCACTGGGCCGTTTGCAGACCCTGAACTAGACCATCCTTAGGCTGGGCAGCAGCCTTGTCTGTCAGCTGATGGGAGCAGGTGTTTCAGGGCGCCCACCCCGTTTCCTGATCGCTGCCGCGGTTACAGGGCTTGAGCACCAGCTCAGACAGTGGAGGGGCCGGGCGCGGCCCTGCATGGGTTTGGGCATCCCCAAAGTGGAATCAGCCAGAGGTCACCACGGGAGATACTCCTCCCGCCAGCTCCCGGGCGCTGCAGGTGCAGGGCCCTGTCCGCGAGGGCTCAGACCTGGGGCTGGAGCCCTGCCCGGGCACCGCCCTCACCTTCCTCCAACCCCCTCCTCCTGGGGAGTCGTGTCGATGACAGAAATGCACCCAAAGCCACAGACTCTGTCTTGTTTCTGTGTCCACGGGTTTGCCTGGGAATGTCTTCAGTGAGCCTTTCCACAGGGCCCGGGACGTCAGGGAGGTGCGCCCCGCCCGGCCCTGCCCTGCCCGTGTTTACAGGGAGGCACTCCCAGGCGTGGCTATAATTAGAAGTCAATTAAGTCAGAAACCCTCGGCATTGTCCTTGGAAGGCCTCCAGGGCTGCTGTTTCCTGGGGGAGCCTCAGGTCTGAGACTCGAGGAAACCCACCGTCCTGACTCAGGCCCGCTGCCCGCGGGGGGCTGGCTCCCCGGTTCCGGCCTTTGTCTGTGCCGTCCCTCCCCACCTGGCGGACTGCAGGCCCCGGCTTGCCGCTCGCTGGGAGGAAAACACCCAGGAGTTCACGGCCCGGTGCCTGGCGCTTTCATCTGGCCTGGTCTGTTCGGGGTTTTCAAACAAAACGGAGTTCTGAATGCTGGTCTGTGTGCAGGGAAAGTGGGGGAAAGGCAGTTCTTGTGTCTTCAAGAGATTCCGGAAACCTAAGCCCTCCCCCGAAGCCGCCTGATGTTGCTGGGGTGAAAGCCAGGCCAGCAGGGCGGAGATCCAGAAAGACCTCGGCCTCGGGGCTCGCGTCCCATCTTCCCTGGGGTCACCGGGGCATCCTGTCCAAACCTCTCCCGGGTCAGCCGTCCCTCCTGCCTTTCTTTCGGTCACAGAGTTCACGTTTCTGCCCCTAATTCAGGAAAAAGGGATGGCTCCCCACAACCTGCCTCAGTCTAGTCACCCACCCCTGCCTCACTCCTGCCAAAAACTCTGATTGAGAAGCTGGTGGCTGTCTCTGCAGACAGGTCTCTGTGTAGCAAGCTTTGAAATCACGCACTGGGAGCCAGGCTGTGTGTGGTCTTGGTCGAGCCTGCTGCGTCCACTGGGCTGAGGTCCCCAGGTTGTGTTTGTTGTGACCATAAACAAGCACGAAAGCTCACAGCCCCACCTGGACTTCATGTGGGAGGCTGGACGGAGCACACCCCCGGCCGAGAGGCAGGGGACTCAGTGCTCCTGAGGTCAGCCCCCTGCTGGCCTCTGGCCGCACATTTGTGTTGGGTGCTTCTCCCCAGAATTCTCACTGAGCAGGTTAGAAAAGAAGGCCTGTGCGGAGGGACTGCCCACAGCCCCGGACCCCGACTTCTCCACCTTGACCTCCTGACTCACAGCCAGTGACCTTGTGGTGGCTTTTCTCCCAGTGCCGTGAGGATGCTGTGTTGCAGGCATGAAGTTCGGGGCTTTTCTCCGAAGTAGAAGGGGCCCCATCTGGTCGGGCCTGCTGCTCTGAGGCTCCCGCCCTGTCCCCACGTGGGTTGGGGACTGTGGGTTTCCGTGATCACGACGGGATGGGGGCTCCCCAAGGCCAGCTGACCTTGATCTGAGCAGATTGATTCTGGAAGCTTCTCACGCAGCCCAGCCATTAGAACAGGGTGTACTGTGTGATTACGAATTCAAACCCTGGGTCCAGGCGAGGCGGCTGTGACCCGCGTGTGGCACCCGGGTGAGCCCACCACCCTCTGTGCAGCCAGGCTCCCAGGCAGACTGGCTCTGAGTGGGAAACACAGGTCTCTGCTTCTGAAAAGGACAAGTGAAAAATAACCACGATGCTTCATTTGGGTGGCAATGAGTTTGTGAACTGCTGGGCCCCGAGCCCGGCCCCCCACCCCACCCCCGCCCCGCCGTCGTGTGGCCTTGGGCAGCACTTGGCGTCTCTGCGCCCCTGTCATCTCAGCACTAAAACTCTGCAGTTAGACGGATGACGCGGCTGGGGCAGCGTGAGGTGGGGTGCGATGGGGGGAGGGGCAGGGCATCCCCAAGCAGCCCTGCTTCCTCAGGCTCTCTGGGCACAAGGACAGTGGCCATCCCTTGGGCAAGAGTGATCGGCCCTCCGTGGGCTCTGGGCCTTTGTCTTTGGGCTTTTCCAGGACAGTGCGATGCTGGGGGAGGGGCCACAGATGGTGGCATCCGAGGGGCTGGGGCTCAGCTGAAATCTGCCTTTTCCTTTGGGGCGCATTCATTCCCGCTGTGTCTGCCATGGAGGTGGGTCTGGGCCGTGGCCGGTAGGTCCCGGCACTGACGAGGTGTGTCTTTCAGGTAAACCCGTGGGAGAGGATGGCCCACGAGAAAGGCTGCACTCGGACGGCCTGGCTGCCTGTCCTGTTGGTAAGTGGCCATGGGCCTGCCGCCTGCGCCCTCGCCTGGGGGTTCCGTGGGAGCTCTGGCCAGCTGTGTCCTCCAGGCTAGGCCCCCATCAGCAGAGCAGTGACATGGGGGTGTTGACAACAGCACAGCCCCGGCAGAGCCCTGACCAGCTCCCCGCCCCAGTTAGACACTCTGGTCGGAGCTGCCCTCACCTGCCTTTCGTGGTCCATGTCGTGGTACCAGCCTGGCGTCTGTGTGGCAAGTTCCATGCCCGTGGCCACAAAACTGGGGGAGGCCAAGCCCCTCGGCCCCCCAGGAGCAGAGACACCCGTGACTGAGAGCCTGCTGTTCTAGGCAGCTGGGAGGGGCCTCACCGGGACTCAGAGGGCGTGGGGGCAGTTCCTGGGTATAGGGCGCCTGGGCTGCAGCCTCGGACAGCAGGTCATTAGCTAAAGGCACCCGGGACTTGGTGACAAATGAGCACCAGGGCCCAAGGGGCCCCCACCCGATCCTTCAGCCACCACCTGTGGGTACAGACCCCAGGTATGTGCGGGTCTCCCGGGGGTTCAGAGGCCAAAGACCCCCTTCCCCGAGGCAGGCATCCCTGACGTGCTCGGCGGGAGCAGAGTACTCCAGCTGCGGGGAGAACGAGTTCTACAACCAGACCACCGGGCTGTGCCACGCGTGCCCCCAGTGTGGGCTGGGGGAGGAGCCCTACCTGGTAAGGCCCCTGCACACCACCTGGGGTGAGTGGAGATTAAGTGGTCTGAGCTGTGGGGGTCACAGACGATGCTGACCAGGGGAGGGAGCAAGCTTGTTAGACCTACAGGACGGCTTCCTACTCTGCTGTCGCTGGCAGGGAGCAGGACTGCGACATGCTACTCCTGAGGGCCGCTACTCCCCCCGCCTCGGGAACGGCCACCACGGATGTCTTCAGTGCTAGAAAAACGTCCACGTTCTTGCAGAGACCAGGGAGTCGGGCCCCAAGGGCCGCAGCACCATCTGGCTGCCCATTGGCTTGGCTGGTTGAGTTTACCCAGGACAGATCAGGAGGGCAGCGTCAGGCCTAGGGCACCGGGGACAGAAGGGCTCAGAACAGGGATGTGGGCGGAGCAGTCAGGACGGTGAGGCCGCCAAGGCCGAGAGAAGCCCCTGTAAACAACCAGTGTGCCACCTGGTGCCCCGAGGATGGCGGGTTCGGTCATGGCAAGGCAGCCACTGTACTGATGGGGTCCCCTGTCCCTTCCCCGACCAGTCCTGTGGCTATGGCACCAAAGATGAGGACTATGGCTGCGTCCCCTGCCCCGCAGAGAAGTTCTCCAAAGGAGGCTACCAGATATGCCGGCGCCACAAAGACTGTGAAGGCTTCTTCCGGGCCACGGTGCTGACTCCAGGGGATGCGGAGAACGATGCTGAGTGTGGGCCTTGCCTCCCTGGGTGAGCACGGCACCGTCCCCCCACCACGCTCTCTGCCAAATCCCTGCGGGCCCCATTGGTGAGGACTCCCCCAGCACCAGTGGGGCACCAGGTGGTGATGGAGGTGGTAGAGGTGATGGAGGTGGAGACGGAGGTGGTGGAGTTGGTGATGGAGGTGGGGGGGGCACATGTTGGCTGCCTCCCCCAGGACGGGCAGCCCACTCAGGGCACCCACTCAGGCCCTGCGTCTGTGTCTCCCACGTGGACGTGGTCATAATCGTACCTTCTAACTCCCTAAATCAAACAGGTCTGTTGATTATTTACAATGAGACAATGTAGCAATGTAGCTCTCATGCTTTGGAGGAAAGACTCCATACGAATGTATTGCTTTTGCTATTTTTAGTATTCTGGAAAAAGCCAAGGGTAAAAAGCTGCTTGTAGAAATATTAGAGACATATTTGGTGCCTATAATTCCACCACAGTCCTGTTATATATCAAAAGTCTCCCCCAAAAAACGAAGTGAAAAATGCAATTAGCGTGAGAGACAGAAAGATGGACTCTTCCTTCTTACAGGCAAGACAGTTAGCAAATTCGCCTTGGGACGAGGGAAGTATAGCCTTGACACCCAGTAACCACCTCCCTCTGGTGGCCACACCACATATGTTTGTAAGGGCCACAGATAGAAAGTGAAAGCGGTGATGAAGGCTATGGGGTAGTGATAATGGTAGAGGTGATGGAGGTGGGGGGTGGAGGTGGTGATGGAGGTGGTGGAGGTAATGATGCAGGTAGTGACAAAGGTGGAGGCAGTGATGGTGGCAGTGATGGTGGTGGCCATGGGGGCAGCAGCACTTGGAACAGTGCACTGTGTTTTGGAGCCCACTCACATACGTTATCCCCCTCAGTCACTGTACTGAAATGAGAAAGGAAAGAAGAAGAAAACACCCAAACAAGAACCCTGGGCACTAGCCTGTATGAAACAGGAAGTACGGAAAGACCCTCCAAGTTACAAACAGATTGAAAGTGAAAAGCTCTTTAACACAAGGAGATACTTTAAACTTGCAGAAAGTAACCAGAGTTCAGATGTGTCACTGGGAAGCGTCCACGTCCGGGGCTCCCACCGCCATCTCTCCACTGGTGACTGTCCCACACGCACAGGCTCTCTGGTTTCTGTCTTCAGTTCAGACCCATCTCATGAGCTGCAGACCCACTCGTCCAAGTACCTGCTTGGCGAGCCCATGTCCACATCTGCGACACAGAGTACAAGCCAAACCTGTTTGTCAAATGGGTGAAGAAAGTGGGGAACGTTATTTCCCACTATACATAAAGCAGGTAGCTACGCCCAGGGCAGATATTAGACTATCGTTTTAGAAAGTCCGATAAAAATGAAAGTTCAGAGGAGGGGGTAGAGGTCCGTGGTAGAGTGTGTGCTTAGCATGCACGAGGTCCTGGGTTCAATCCCCAGTACCTCCATTGAACATAAAAACAAACAAACGAACGAACAAAACCTAATTACCGCCCCCAACTTAGTCTCGAGGTGATTGGTATGGGGGCTCCACCAAGCGGAACAGAGCAGCAGAATCAAGGCTTTCCCACCCGATGACACACGGGACGCTGACTCTGCTTGAGTAAGAGAAGTTCTGTAGGATCTTGACCTTACATGGCTGGAACCAGTCCCTGATAACATGTACCTCCTAGGACTTTGCCTTGATTGGTTTTTATTAGTGCAGATACATAATTCATGAGAGAAATGCGGAGTTTTGAGGATTAACTGTAGCCGCGCTGATGAAAAGTGCGCACAGCTGGCCATGCCCACCATGGGGGAGGAACTTGCCCTCTTTGCAAAACCTCCACTTGTTTTGAGAGCCTCCGCGTGTGAGAATCTGACCTGACATTCACAACAGCTCCTGCATTTACTTTCATAAACCTTTGAATTCAGAGCCCACCAGGTGGGTAGTGGTGAGACAAAGAGGAAGACGTGGTTCCCCTCTTTGCAGTGGAAAATCCGTGGCAGCCTAGTGCGGCAGGTATGGCCAGGTGTTCGGGGTCCAGGAAGGACCCTCCTTCATGGCTGGGGAGGTGGGTCGGGAAGGGTCTTGGAAGACTTCTCGGGGGCGCTGGGATGGGCAGGAGTCAGGCCAGGAAGAGGACAGGGCTCTCGAATGGAGACAAAGTGCAGGGTCTGTTGTCCCTGTGGCGCCGTGGAAGGTGCAGGTGGGGCCACGGACAGGTAAGGGGTGGGGCCGGCGGGAGAGGGCCTTGGGAAACGGTGCAGCTATCTGGGCTGGTGGGGACAGAGCATATCTTGGCAGCAGTGAGGAAGAGCCGGGCTGGGACAGGGGTTCGGGAGTCATGAGAGCTAGGGTGCAGGAAGCGCTGGGAGCAGAGGAGAGGACCAATTTAGGGCCCGTTGGAAGATGGCGGTGATGAAGCTGCAGCCTGAGTGCAGGAGGGACTGTGGGGTCGGGTGTGGGGAAAAAGTGGGCTCGGCCACCACACGTGCGGGCGGTGGAATACAGAGGAAGAGGGATTTGAGGCGGGGAAGATAGAGAGGTATGTGTGGAATTTGAAGTGACTGTGACGTCAGGCCAGGACATCTAACACGTGGATGGGGACACAGGTGTGGAGCGCGGGTCCACCTGGGAGCTGCTCCCGCATCCATGATGGGGGAGCCGCTGGTCCAGGTGGGCTCCTGCCATGGTAGGGGCGGGGGCAGACTGCCAAATAGAGCCTCATCCGTGGGCATCGCTGGCTCCAACCCCACAGTTCAGCCCCAGCCTGTGCCCTGCGGTCTGTGAAGGCAACTGTGACTGTAGCCCGATGGCCTAAAGGGCAGTGAAGATGCACGCCAGGTAGCCTGCTTCCCTCTTGCTTAGACCCACAAGGACTTTCCAGCCAGAAAGGACAGGCCCAGGCCAGTGCAGGAGGTAGCCCACCCACGGGCCGGGGCCAGCCTGGTGCTGGAAAGGCAGTGAGACCTCTTGCTCAGACCCAGCATGTTCACCCGGGGACGTTTGCCGATGTAAACGTCATGCGCGCCCTGCCCCTAGAAGGGATGGCCACCTGTGTCCGAGGAGGGTGTCTCCAGCTCTGAAACCTTGAGTAGCAAGTAGCCCCCTCCCGTGGGGTCCTCGCACCAGGACCAAGCGAGTGAATGGAGGACACTGTGCGCCCAGGGGCCGCATCCAGACTCCACAACATGGGCATGTGCAGCTGTCTTCAGCTTGCTCTGCCCTGCGGTGTGAGTGTCCCAACCCCAGGCCCCAAACCGAAGGCCCTACATTACCTCCAGCCCCCATCTCTGGCGGGCCCAGTGCTTTACGGGGCAGGCGTCCAGGTGGACACCCGGGGGCAGGAGTGCAGCCCTCGGGGCCTGGCTGCAGGGGAGGAGGGGAGGCTGAGGCATCTGGGCTCTGGGAAGGGCTGATTTCATCCCTGAGTGGTGGGTCCCTCTGTGGGCACAGACCGCGGCTGCCTTGGCCTTTTCCCCACTGTGGTTTGGCAGGCGCTCTGTCCTCACCCTGTGCCCTCCCACTGTGTGTCAGCATGTGGCCGGGACACTGGCTGAACAATGAGCCATCCACGGGGCTTTCCTGTTGAGAAAGGCTCGTGTGGGAGGCCTGGGAACGGAGCCTGTCTAGAGGCTGGGTTTCGTAACCTCCCCGGGGCGTTGCCTCCCCCGTGGACAAGCACCCGCTGGCCTGGGACCGCGGGAGGACAGAGTGAAGCTCCTGGTGGGCACTACCCACCCACACGGGTAGGGGAGAGGGAGCGTCCACTACAGCTTAGGAGCCCGGACGCTCGGGGAGTTTCTATACCTGATGGCCTGGAGGAAGATGCTTGAGGCGCTGTTTAAACTGAGTCTTGTCTCGGGCTTAATCAACCCTTGGAGAACAGAGAAAAAAGAACTAGGGAAAAGTGAAAATGTAGACCAAAGTGTAGGAAATGAGACGTTTACAGAAAGACAAAGGGACCAGAGGCCCCATGCTAACACCTGCCTCCGGTGGAGGGAAATTGACTGAAGCAGCTGGTCTCGGTCCTCGCGGCCATCGGCTCAGGACCAGGCTGAGGTGCCCGCTCGGCCGAGTGAGGAGGAGCGGCCCCACGGGGCCTTGGGGGGCAGGCTTTAAATGCAGTGGCTCCCGGGGCTGTTCCTCACTGTTGTCCACCCGAGGAGGGGCCTGGAGCGCGGGGCCCGTGTGAGCACAGAACCCACCCCGAGGGCCCTGCACCCATCAGGCGTGGAGAGCTTCATCCGAGCAGAGCTCACACCCGGGGCCCAGCGGGTGGGCCGGGAAGAGCGGGGGACCGCAGAATGTCCTGGGCTCCTCTCCGTGTCGGGGTTTGAACTTCTGTGCAGAAGCCTCAGTCTCTCATTCTTTGTCCCATCAATCCTGCCCAGGACTCCCTCCCCAGCACCCAGCACCCAGCACAGGGCACTGGGAACCAGGACGAACGCTCTGGGGCTGGTGCTCACTGCTGGTGGGGCTGGCCTGGCTGCCCAGGAGCAGGTGCCCCGGCAGGTGGCTCTGGAGCGCGGCAGAGTGTGTTGGGAGCACTCGTCCGCTGCAGCTTCTCTGAGGGTGTTTGGAGATTAGTTAGCTGGCGTTTACAAGCGCCTCCCCAGCCCGAGGAAGGGCAGGCAGCTACCGATGGTCATGCTGCTGGTGCTCCAGCTCATGGAGGCCGAGTCCAGCCCCTCCAGCCCCCACCACCGCTATCAAGGGGCCTGGAGTGCACAGCTAATAAAACAGAGATTAAAGAACAACCACAGGAGAATCCAGTGGCCGAGAGGTATTTCCACCCCTTGAGCTGTAACAAGGGAAACACTGGCACCGGCTCACGGTGTTAATTGACTCCTCATGATGTGGCGAGCGGCTGCACGTGTGTTTCTGGGAACTGCACCAGAGCCCGCGGTGGAAGGAGACTGAGTGGGGCCGCATGTGCGTGGCCTGCAGAGAACTTGGGGAGGGCACTGGCACACTGACTCCGCGAAGCCTGAAAGACGTGCGGGGCATCGCTGGGGGTGAAGACAGCCCTGCGTGAATGCCTTGACCTTTCCCTGGGGTGGGTGCAGCCCCGGCCTGAGCTCACCTGGTGTCTTCGGTCAAGTACTTCCTGAGGAAGCAGGTGACTCTCAGAGATGACCTGACCATGGTCTTGGCTGCAGCCATGCTCTGCCAGCCAGCCCCACTCAACCTCGGGAAGCTGGTGTCCAGTTAGTCCTGGAGGTCCCAGAGTCTGAGGCTACTGGCTGTGCCCTCGCTGGGGTTGGGGTGGGCGTGTAGGGGGCTGGTCCCTGGTTTGAAGGGACACCCAGATGGCTGAGCAGGGGAAGTCCTGGAAAAGGAAGTGGTTCCCACAGGGTCTTCTCACTCCTGGCTTTGCTCGCGGGTGTGCCAGG